AAATGAAACTGTTAAACTAGTCCTATTGACATAACAGGTGTTTAGACATTTTAGCTGTCCAGTTTTTTAAACAATGTTCACAGATTTCAGTTTTCTGCTGTTTAGGGTTAGTTTTCTTGATTCTTCACTTGTTGTGCTTTATTTGCTTGTTGGTGCTTTTTGCTTTCACATCTTTCACTACATTCAGCTCATTTGACAGTTAAGCTTAGTTTCAGCTTCAGTTCAGCTGTTCAACAACTTCAGCAATCAGTTACAAAATTTAGCACAAGCTGCTAATTTCACAATTCAGCTAAATGTAAAGATTAAACTGTTAAACTTGTCCAACTGAAATAACAAGTGTTTAGACATTTTAGCTGTCCAGTTTTTATACAGTGTTCACAGATTTCAGTTTAAGATTATTTTTCTCCATTCTTCACTTACTTTTTGTGCTTTATTTGCTTGTCAGTGTTTTTTGCTTCTACATCTTTCAAGACATTCAGCTCATTTTGACACTTTTGCTTAGTTTCAGCTTCAGTTCAGCTGTTCAGCAGCTTCAGCTTACAGTTTCAGCTATCCAGCATTCAAACAGCATTTGTGCAAGAAATGCAAATATTTCTAGTTATATTTATTGTTCATTATTTGATGACACCATGTTTGAATACTTGTCAGGCTGATCTTTGGTGTGTTCTTGCTGTGTTTAGTTTCAAATTCCATCTTTCAGTTCTTTTTAAAACACAGAAAAGGTTTAATTACCAGCAACGTTTTGTTTGCGGCTGCAAACATCATCAGTCTGATGCCGGGGGACAGGAAGTGTTTTGCTTCGCAACAAACACAGCGCGATAATGGAGGAAAGCACTTTTCCAAAGGCTTTAAATGAGCTGGCACAGATGTGATATCGCGACAAAATACATCTTCCTTTAGGTTATGAGCCATATAGCTCATGGTGCTATCGCTAACGCTAACGATGAGTATTTGCTAGGATCTACTTGAAACCAACTTTTCATAAATTTAAGATCCAAATGGTACGTTTGATTTCAGTAAGGTATAAATGCCACATTACAACACTAAGCTAACTGCTAAAAACATTAGCACTGTGAAAGCTATTTGCAATGAGGACATGTGAAAACAGTATAAAATTATTAACCTGTCTTTTTTATGGCTGTTTCTAAGCAACACTCAGTAATGTCCTCCCGTTGTCTGTTTCAGCTCCTGTTTTAAGCCGTAGATTACTGATTCACTTCTGCCGTCTTCTTTCAGTATGTTTTTTTTATGAAGTCCTTTGTGGCGCTCTACATTCAGAACATGACAAAAACGTTTGTCTTTGTCCCGATTGGAGTGATCGTAATAACCGCAGAACATATAGAATTTCAGTCACCAAAGTAAATAGGGTTTTGTGCAGCGCCGGCTACTTCGGACCCCCATCTGCATTTGGTGACATTAGTTGCGACAGCAATTCATTTATGTGGAGGAGGCGGGGCTTTTGATGTGTACTACAGCCAGCCTCTAGGGGGCAGGTTGTTTAACTCATTAGCTCTTAGAGACGAGTTTAGATGTAGAGGAAGATGTCTACCTTTGGATTTATGTTGTTATTATTATCACCCTTCTGGGTGATGGGGAAATGCCTCCATGTTGTTGGTTTGTTCACTAAGTAAACTGGTTTCTTCTCATTAAAACGCATTAATGCACCTTCTGTTTTTATTTAAACGTCCTCATTCATGTGAACCGGAATATTAATGAGATAAACCACAGAATATCTGAGCCTTCTTGTGCCTGAACAGAATGAATCGCTGCTCTGTTTCATTCATAAACTTGTTGAGACAGCGGGAGCGCTAGGTCCCGCCCCTCCGGGACAGAGGGAGGGAGGTCCGGGTGTCAATAAGTAACACCCACGACAGAAGCGTCGGTCCGCCGGTGTTTGCCGGTGTTGAGCTCAGCGGGAGACGGCGGACAGGTGAGGCTCGGACCTTTTTGGTTGATGACCGATCCGACCTGAGCGTTCCGGTTCCGGTTCCGCTGATCCACGGGTGGTCTCCGGGTCAGGAGGTAACTGCTGATGCTTCTATAATATTCTTCTGAAACCGAGTCGGTACCGGTGTCCTGGTACCGGTTCTGTCATTAATAGAGACAATATTAAAGTTCATGGCTATAAAATGTAAAATAAACATTTATATGTTTTATTATTGGTCTGATTTCAATGTTTTAGAATGAAAAGAGAATTTAAAGCAAACTTCTGCCCTTCTGTCCCTTTAATCAACACGAATAAATCATTTTCTTAGTGTTTAAGCGACATTTTTAATAAAAAAAAAGAACTGACTTTATCCGTTTTACTTGATAATAAACTCATTCATTAATGACCAAAACGAATGTTCTAGAACTAGAATTATTTATATCATTCTGTCAGTCAGTAAAGAAAATATTAAACTGTTGAATTCTTTAAAACGCCACAGATAAAAATGACTAAAGCTACAAATAACGAGTTTTACTTGTTAATGAGCAACAGTTGGTCAATTTATTTCATCAAAGGGATTTCTATGTTTTTTCAAGTGTTTCTGTGTAAAAATAATTAATTCATATCTAACCTAAACAGACTCAGTGCAGAGAAACAGCATTTGTATCCATCAGGACTGATAAGCTAACAGCTAGTCAGTTCTTAACAGGTCTAAAAAAAATAGAAATAAATGTAAATATACTTATTAAAGTTTTCACCAGGTTACCTGGTACCTCGGAGCACGAACCCTCTCTGACTGTTACTAACAGACGTGAGCGCCGTTGTTAAACTGTGACTCGGATCCTGTTTACAGGCTTGTATTTAGTTATTTATCAGAACCTTTTATGGCTCACAGCTTCTAACCGTTACTGAAAACTACCACTTTGTGCTTTTCATTAAATATGTGTTTAATGAGCTTATAGTTCACAGATCTTTTGTTTTTGGTGACTTTGGACTCGAGTCTTTAAAAGGAACTCCGGCTATGAGGACACGTGTGCACTAATAAGCCACAAGTTTCCTGTTGTATGTTGTTAGAAACACAAAATATTGCTGTTTATTCATAAATCTGTCATATTTAGTGTATATTTGACATACGTAGGACGCCATGTTTACCGCACCAATGCACTCTGGGGGCGATGACGTATATTGGTTGCTCTTGGAAGAACAGCTATTGATGCTAGTGTTTGGTTACGTGCTCACCGTATTAATAATGAAGTAAAATGTCGCATTGTGCTGCTTTTGGATGTAATCTCCAGCCAGAGGGCAGCAAGGGGAGTGATGCGAGTTTACAGCTTTCCCACTGGCAACAAGAGGAGAAAGCAGTGGGAAGATGCCTGTGGACGGACACAACTTCCCAAAGATCCGCGGCTGTGTTCCCAACATTTTTCTCCTGACGCGTTTGAGGCTTATAGTCGACCACAACGACTTAAAGAGCTCACCAGAGCGGCTGGGTATAGGAGAAGGCGGAAACTAAATGCTTTACCGACCATTTTCCCTAAACGCCCTCGGGGAGACGAGAGACGCTGGACGCCCTCCTGAGCCGACAACCCGCTCCTGCAGCCGCCGCTTCCGTCACGTTCAGCCAACCATCGGACACGCCACTCGTCACGGATGAAGCTGAACGTTCACCGCTCCCGTCAGTAAAACAAGCAGTAAGTGTAGCAACACAGTGTTGTCCACATAAACAATATCTGCAAAGTGGTTTCACTGAACATGCTAATCATCTATAAAGCACACGACAGCTCTGGATGCTAAAATTCTCCTAAATCATTCATAATTTAATAAGTCTGATCACACGATAGCTTACCGTTAACTTCTGCTGACACAAATGTGAGCACGCTCCCTCTCGGTTACCATGGAGACCCGTTTGCCGCACACGCACCAGCGGTTTTGTGCTGCTCTCGCTTCATCCCGCCCTTCCTGCTCTTCATGTTGACGCTCGTTTAGTGAAACACGGACAGTGATGTCATCATTAATGTTTCGCTCTGGTTCAAAGTGAAAAGGCTGAACAGACGACATGCTGATGTCGCTGAACAGTCGCTACAGGATCCCAAAGCCGGCCGGTGCAACCGAGGTACAACCATATGACGTCACTACCCAGGGTGCATTGCGACGCTAACAACAATGGCGACCGACGAGTTAAACTATTTTTACAAATTTTTACAAAAATGAAGACATTAAGAAGGTTTTTTACACCACTTTAACATAACTGGTACTAACATTTATCTTTTAAGAACCACAAAGTTTTGTAACCTGGACTCCTTTTAAGTTGAATCCCAGCTGTATGAAAAGTTTTAAGCTTTTAAGTTTCAACTTGTTTAATTTGTCAAACAAGTTGTTTGTTTGTTTTTACACTGACTTCATATAAAATGTTTATTTTCTATGTTTTATTTAGATTTTCTGTGTGAAGCTGAAACACTGAGAATCAGACCCCCCCTGTTTTCACCAGAAGCTTTAAATGATCGACAGCTGAAGCTTTTCTCTGTTAAAAGTGTTAATATTTAAGCATACAAACAGCCGGCGTCTGGAACCGCAGCAGGAGAAACACCAGCCGTCTAGCTGATGCGACTGGGCAGACGGGCAGATGAGTAATGAATCTGATTTTAGAAGAGCGACGTGGTTCTCCAGGAACCTGTGTAAAGCAAAAACTGAATTTTAACAGTAACCGGAAAAACTAAAAAGTTAAACATTATTCATAATAAACAAGAAAACAACCAATTGTTCATTTACAATTTTTTAGATGTGCAACAACAGAACAATCTCACCTTTCTCCAGGTTCTGTGCAAAGACAGTCTATTAATCTAAAATATTTTCAGAAACTGTAATATTTTATAAATTATTATAAGCATATTTCAAATAATTTTATTGTATATGAATTATATAGCTACTAAATATTTATAGTTAATTTAATTGTACATTTTACTTGTTAAAATATATACTATATGTATGTGTTTATATTTATATTTAGAACTGATACGTATTTTTTAACACATTCATATTTTTATTATTTAAATTCATTTATTCTGTATTTATTTTTAATAGTTCACATTTTATGTTTGTCTTTACTGAGTTTATTGAGCCTGTTTGCACCTCAACAGACTGATAAATGATCTGCAGCAGCTTTATGAACACATGATGATGACCTCATCCCTTTATCATTGGTCCAGCTGTGCAAACACCTGTGCTGTTCACACACAGGTGTTTGTTTCCATGCTCCGCTTTTGTGCTACAGCAGGCTGAACATTACATTCAGATCTGTTAATCAATCCCTTGCCAATACAGTTCGTTTGAACATCTTATTCTTAGTTTTCCTAATCCTGATTGCAAAACTGTAAAACCACTCTTGTTTGTAGTTTTATATCGTCCACCAGGCCCTTACTCTGAGTTTTTGGATCAGATCTCTGATTTTTTATCCGATTTGGTGCTAAATACTGATAAGGTCATTATAGTGGGGGATTTTAACATTCATGTGGACATTGAACATGATAGCCTCAATGTAGCCTTTAGTAATATCTTAGACTCAATTGGTTTTACTCAAAGAATACATAGCTCCACCCACTCCTGCCATCATACATTAGACCTTGTGCTGACTTATGGCATAGAGTGTGTGGAAATAACCATATTTCCACGTAATCCAGTCCTCTCGGACTACTTTCTGATAACCTTTGAGTTTTTTATAACTGAGTTCTCGAGACATGAAAGTAAATTTCACTATATGTTAATGTTTGTGTTTATTTATTTAGCAGACACTTTTATCCAAAGAGACTTACAATTTATAACCTATAGGGCATGTTGTGATCTGTGGGGGAAACCGGAGTACCCAGAGGAAACCCACGCATGCATGGGGAGAACACGCAACTCCACGCAGAAAGGCTGCAGCCGAGTTTCGAACCTGCGACCTTCGTGCTGCGAGGCAACAGTGCTAACCACTGCGCCGCCATGCAGCCCACAGCCCATAGTAACTATAGTCGGTCTCCATCTGACAACGCTGTTGCATCTTTTAAATCATCTGTTCCATCTTTACTGTCCACAGCATCTCAGAGGAACATAGCATGTGTCTGTGTGCGCGCGCGTGTGTGTGTGTGTGTGTGTGTGTGTGTGTGTGTGTGTGTGTGTGTGTGTGTGTGTGTGTGTGTGTGTGTGTGTGTGCGTGTGCGTGTGTGTGTGTGAGTGTGTGTCTGCTCTGTCTTCTCCATCCCCAGTGAGTCGTGGAGGATGGCTGCTTATACTGAGCCAGGATTCTCCAGAGGTTTCTTCCTGTTAAAAGGGTGTTTTCCTCTCCACTGTCGCTAAATGCTTGCTTAGTATGAGGATTGCTGTAAAGACTCTGACACTAGTCAGTGACTCGACACAACCTGCTGGGTTCCTTATATAGGAAACATTTTACTGATTGGCTTAATGACCTGACCTGTACTGGAATGTTTACTGTGTGAAGGTCTTTGAGACGACTCCTGAATTACACATTACTGCAGTAGCTTCTGACAGAAAACAGACGGTGAAACTCTAGAATTAGAAAATCCTGATAGATCTATGTCACACTGTCTCTTAGCATTCATGGACTCACCCATCTCGGCTCACGACGGGGAAGGCTGTTGTTGGTTTAGCGTCCAGGAAACAGCAGAGAACGTCTCGGCTTGTAGAAGCTAACGATTAGCATTAGCAACTCCACCACACAGCAGAACTCCTCCAGGCTTGTGTTATTTATGGAGATTAAACATCAGCGTTCCAGAGCAATTATAGTCAGTGGTAGAGTTGTGCTGCTGTTAGCCAATAAGAGGGGAGATGTCCAGATATCAGGAACTGAGACTCCAGATCCTCCAGTTTGAAGCACAGCTCTGATGTCTCAGACTGTTGGGCCAGAGGTTTGTGGGCTGTTTTGTGCCCTGAGTTTTGCCTGCAAGACATTCATTCCTACTAGAGATCACTGAAAAAGTATTGATTAAACAAGTGATCCACACTTTTAAACAAACTAAGAATTGTTGATTTAGACCATGAAAGCAAAGAGAAAGACAGCAGCTGGTTTAAGAATATTTAGTGATTTATTTTTTGCTGACACAAAATGAAACTAGAAATGAAACAAATAATCAGCTGTGAAAGTTAAACTAAATCATTTTTATTTTTATTTTAGGTCATTTTGCAGTGATGTCATCGACCCTCCTCCTCCTCCTTCCTCTCATCATCCCCGCTTTGATGCTGGAGTTTCGTTACCATAGCAACAGTGAAATCGAGCAATACTTAGTTCAGGTTAACACCTCCAACCCTGACATCACTCACCTGTACAGCATCGGGAAGTCCGTCAAAGGTAACAGCACACACATCTGTGATGTCATGCCCACTCAGAAGAAAAAAGAGGCGGAGCTGTTACCCGGTGGTGAGTTGGCTTTGATGGTGAGGGAGGATGCCAGTCAGACCTGGCACATCCAAAAGGATTGTGAGGGTCTGCTGGGAACACCCGGCAGCATCAGGACTTAGTGGACTGGTGGGCAGAGTAAATCCAGGAACTGCCCAATCCTACCAGCATGTTGTCCAATGAGGAACCAGAGTTTGGAGACTTTGGGTTGGGCTCTCCCATCTCTGGAGCTGAGATCACTGAGGTGGATTGGATCTTCCCAGACGTCCTTAAGGCTCTGGGTGTTATGGGGCTGTTGAAGCAGCTCTGAAATTTCAGGTGGACGTCAGGGGCAGTTCTACTGGATTGGCAGACCGAGGTGGTGGTCCTCCTATTTGAAAAGTGGAACCGCAGGATGTGTTCTAACTACAGGGGGACCACACTCCTCAGCCTACCTGCTAAAGTCTATTCAGAGGTTCTGGAGGGTCCATTTTTGTCCTGGTCGTGGAACACTGGACCAGCTCTGGAGTGTGCGTGGGAGTTTGCTGAACAAATCTACTTAGGTTTTGTGGATTTGACTGACTGATTCGCTTAAAACCAATTTTTAAACCAGGCGCACCTGGAATCCCTAATTCATGCTTTTATCATCTCCCGACTGGATTACGCAAATTCCATCTTATTTGGTGTACCAGCCTCCGCTCTTAACTCATTCGCTGCCAGCGTTTCTCACCGTTTTTACTGTTTTTTTAAGAGTCACAGAACGTTCCGCGCTAGGATGATGTCGACACCAAAATGACCAAAACAAAGCGGAGACCCGCCTCTTACATCAGGAAGAATCCGCATGTTTCGAGCGTTATTCGTTCTTTCATAATCCGTTGTTGAATTGTGATCGGCAGAAGCTTTTCTGGTTCACGCCTCACTTTTTATACAGCGATCTCCTAACACATGGATGTTCTGCTTCCTGGTCACGTCATGTGTGGGGTACGTGGATGAAGTTCGGCTTTAGAGCTGAGATGTTTGTTCTCACGGTGCGGGGGCTCGTCCGACACCCACACAGTAAAAAAATTCAAATGACGACTTCAGTCGTCAGTGGCAGTGAATGAGTTAACAGGCTTCAGGTGGGACAGAACGCGGCAGCCAGGTTTCTGACGAACATCTCTAGACGTGACCGTATCACGCCTGTACTGGCGCACCTCCATTGGCTACCCATATACTTGAGAGTGAAGTTTAAAATTCTGATCTTTGTTTTTAAGGCCCTGAACGGTCTGGCACCGGATTACCTGTCTGGCCTTGTGACTCGGTATGTGCCAAACCGGGCGTTGAGATCTGCCGATTGCTGCTTCACGTTCCCACCATGAAATACAAAACGTGGGGGCAGCGTGCTTTCGTCTACGCTGCTCCGTCCCTCTGGGATGCTCTTCCTCTCAGTGAGGCTGGCACCATCCCTCCCCCGTTTCAAGTCTGCTTAAGGCCCACTTTTACGACCAGGCATTTTAAACCCTTAACTTATATTAATTATTTTTATTATGTATTTGTTTGATTGACTGTGATTTTCTGCTTTGTTGTGTACTTTTTTATTGATTGTGTTTTACTTTTTATCTGTACAGCACTTTGGTCGGCTGCCACGCTGTTTTAAAATGTGCTTTAGAAATAACGTTGGTATGGCATGGTTGGTATTTGGAGAAGGCATTCGACTGCGTCCCTCGGGGGGCCCTGTGGGGGGTACTTTGGGAGTATGGGGTACCAGGCCCTCTGAAACGGGCTGTCAGGTCCCTGTATGACCGGTGTCAGAGCTTGGCCCACATTGCCAACAGTAAGTCGGACTCATTCCCAGTGAGAGTTGGACTCCACCAAGGCTGCCCTTTGTCACCGATTCTGTTCATAACCTTTATGGACAAGATTTCTAGGAGCAGCCAAGGTGTTTAGGGGATCCGTTTTGGGGGCCTGAGAATTGGGTCTCTGCTTTTTGCAGATGATGTGGTCCTGTTTTTGTATCTCAGGATTGACTGATTAGTGTTAGCCTCAAGGGCAACCTGCTGGCTTCATTATTACTTGTAAGTTGCTTTGGACAAAAATGTCCGCTAAATACATAAACGGGTCTCACCTGGCCAGGGAACGCTGTGGGATTCCCTTGGAGGAGCTGGCCCAAGGGGCTGGGAGAGGGAAGTCTGGGCCTCCCTGCTTAGGCTGCTGCCCGCGCAACCCGACTCCTGATAAGCGGATGAAAATGGATGGATGTTTTTAACACATCTGGACAAATTAGTGTTATCCTCTATTCTGTTAAATAAGGATTTAATATGATTTTTATCATTTTTAATATTCATGTAACATTTGATGCCTGCTGGTAAATGGTAAACAACCTGCATTTGTATTGCGCCTTCTTAGATTTCTACAACCCCTCAAGGTGCTTCACAACACAATCAGTCATTCACACATTCACACACTGGTGGTGATGAGCTACGATGTAGCTACAGCTGCCGTGGGGCGCACTGACAGAGGCAAGGCTGCCGAGCACTGGCGCTACTGGTCCCTCCGACCACCATCAACCGGCAGGGTGGGTTAGGTGTCTTGCCCAAGGACATTACAGCAGGATTTTCTGGTCGGTAGCAACCTTCCAATTACTGGACAACCCGCTCTACCTCCTGAGCTTCTGCTGTCCAGGTACCGGGTGTGTTTGGTGTTCTTGATGCTTCCCAACACAAATAGTTCCCATCATGCATTTCAAGTTGTTTATCATGACATCTTAAAGGGCTGCTCCATTCACAGAGGCAAGCTGGTGGCTTACAGGTGAATCTCAGGTATCCGTTGCCATGGAAACCAGCTACCAGACTAGGTCTCTGCTGGTGGGATCAAATAACAGAACTGAAGTTGGAGGTTCATTTAATCTGGGACATTTTAATCTGACTAATCACACACACACACACACACTTAGTTAATCTGAGCTAATCCAGGACACCAACTGGCTTGTTTCCAGTGCGCGTGTACGTGTGTGGACATGCGTATGCATGTGTGTGTGTGTGTGTGTGTGTGTGTGTGTGTGTGCGTGCGTGCGTGCGTGCGTGCGTACGTGCGTGCGTGTGTGTGTGTGTGTGTTGTTAAAGGCATGCTGAGGCTGGCTCAGCTTCCTTCCGTCGGTTTGTTGAGCAGATCTCTAAACAGTTACAGTCGTTATGTTCACATGGAGACTTTTGTCTGACTGATCGTTGAACTGGGCCGAATAAGAATCAGCATTAAAACTCCTAAAGCATGAAACCACAACCAGGAAGGAACGTCAGAGTCAACACACCTGGGACTGAAACCCGTTCCAGCTCTGTGATAACTTACAATGATAGTAATAATAATAATAATAATAATAGTAATATTATTATTATTAATAGTAATATTACTAATAATAATAATAGTAATAATAATGATAATATAGTAATATTAGTAATAATAATAATAATAATAATAGTAATAGTAGTAATAATAATAATAGTAATAGTAATAATAATAATAATAATAATAATAGTAATAGTAATATTAGTAATACAATAATAATAATAATAATAATAATAATAGATGAGGGTATTTTTTTCCAGCGATGACAGAAATGGTGACTCTTTTTTTTATGTCATTTTAGGCAAATAATTCACAAACCAACAGAAAACGGGTGGACCTTTTTTTAATGTTTGGAGTGTTTAAACAGACAGACATGTCACATATGGATGAAAAATCTAAGTCCCACCTAATATTTCCTCTTTTCGTCTCAAAGATGGAGCGTCCCGGTGCGGAGCTTTAAAAGTCAGGAGTGTAACATTAAGATGGTAGGGCTGGACAATTATTCAACGATATACATCGACCAATAGACATGGGGCACGATAGAAAAAAAGGTTTCCTTCGTTTTCTCTGTTTTAGCCAATCGGGTAGCTTAATACTAGAGTCTATTCTTACTTCCAACCAATCAAAAACAGACCCAGGCACACTTCGTCACCAAGCCCCCCCCCCCCCCCCCCCCCCCCCCCCCCCCTCCAACCAAAACAGACAACGAGGAGCGGGAGCGGAAGTTGTCCCATAAACAGGTTGCAGTGGTTCACCAGCGACCTGTGGTAAGTTAAAAATGTACAGAGTCAATAAAGGAATGACATCAAATGGACAGGGCTGCACCTAAAATTTATTTCCTACTTTTTTTTATTATCAATAATTATTGATAGTGATTTTTTTTTATCAATATGCTTTTTTCTACATCGTCCAGCCCTCCTCTGAAGTGGACCGACTGCCAGACTTATGGGCCATTCCCATCTGTACCGGGTCGGCCCGGGCCGGGTAGCCCCAGTCGGCCCCAGCCTGGCCCAGTTGATTCCACACATCCTTGTCTTAAGCCCATGTGGGCTGATTCTACCCACCAATCAGAGGCTTGCTCTAATGGAAGGTGTGAATTTGCTGTCAGCAGTGGGTGTGTTGGTCCTGGTCGGCCTGAAGCAGACCCCCTCGAGAAGAGGGCTGAGAATGAGCCTTGGTTGGCCCGGAAAAATACCAGGCCACCCAGATATGTAAACAACCTACGCTACCCGGCCCGGGCCGACCCGGTACAGATGGGAATGGCCCATAAAACAGGTGTGCTTGAACTGAAACAGCTGCGCTCTGGAGGTCCTTTTCATCTAAACAAATGAAGGCTTACAATAGTTTAAAGCCTCAAAGATCATTTCCATTTCAAATTTAGACACCAAGCTCTGATATGTCTTCTCTCAGAAGAGCAGCTTCTGACTAGCGCGATGCTCCGGGGACACGGTCGAGTCCGGGATAAGACGACGGTACCGGAGGGGCCCAGCTGCTGCTGGAGTCCACACTTCTGGCTCTCTGGGACAATGCTCGGGGTTTGGGACTCATCAGCCTCCAACATTTATTATTGTTCTTGTCGATTTTCCGAGGGCAGACCTACCACAGATCCCCCCGGTTTCAAACACAAACGTTAAAAAACCTGGTCAGGACCCGTTTAAAAGGATTCTGGCATGTCTGGCTGCTGGGAAAGAAAGGACGGCTGGACCTGGAGTTCTGGACTGGACTCTTGCTCTCATCCAGGTCACCTGTTCTAGTCAGAAGCATGCGTTAGTTGCCCCGGGTGTCAGGGCCTTATCGCTGTCTGTAGTGTATTTTAATGGGATAAGACTGGCACAGTGAACCCAGACGCTGTCTCTGTCCTCCGTCTCCGCAGGGCAGCAGCTGTGGGTGCTAGCCCTGGGCGTCAGCCCTCGCCGTCACACTGTGGGAATCCCAGAGTTCAAATATGTGGCCAACATGCATGGAAATGAGGTGAGTCAACACACACACCACCCTCACAACAGAGGGCCTGCTGTTAACAGGAAGTAGTTCTAAAGACGTCCACAAAAGGCTTTCAGAGTCCGACACAGTCCACGCACTCTTTGTGTGGAGACAACAGGCAGCGAGGTGGTCCACATGATCCTGGTTTAGAGCTCCCAGCCGGCTGAGTCAACAGCACATCTATAAAACAGATGTTTGGGTTTGAACTCTACAGGAAGGACTTTAGTGATGCTGTTTGTCCAACAGCAGCCACAGAAAACATCTCCGCCTTTATTCACGTCCAACGGCCAGTCTCTTCCTGGAAAGCCAGACCTTCTTGTCTCTTTTTGACTTGTTATGTGTCTTCTGCTCCTCCGGGTACGGATCTCAGAGAGAGACACTCCAACATGGAAGCCTAGACGGTCTTCTCCGCAGCCCCCCCAGTGGGACCCCTAGATGTTCCCAGATCAGTCTGGAGGACTGGCATGTCCTGGATCAACCTAGGGCCTCCCATTAAAACTCCTCCTCTGGGAGGTGTCCAGTAGGAATCCAGAACTCAATCAGAACCACCTCAGCTGGTTCCTCTTCATGTGGAGGAGCAGCGACTCTCTGAGTCCCTCCCACATGCCCAAGCTCGTCACCCTGTCTCTAAGGCTGAGCCCGGTTACCCAGCAAAGAATTTATTTCTGCATTCATGAACGACCAGATGACACACACACACACACACACACACACACACACACACACACACACACACACACACACACACACACACACACACACACACACACAAAATATAAAGTACTGAGAAAGAGTTCAACTCTGTGTCTGTGTTGACCTTTAACCCTGGCTAGACCGGCTGCTACATGGAGCCTTAAGCTCCTCCCCCTCCAGTCGGCTCATGGGCCCTGATGGGAGCTATAAAAGTTATTTTCTATCCCGCATTGGCCCTGAATCACACGTCAGGGTTTCCCCCAGCGCTTTATAATTCTGCCCACCCGCCAGGCTAAACGTCATGCCCCGCCCCCCTCCCCAACCCTACCGTGTTCGCTGACACGAATGGCGCAACGAAACTAGAGCCCTCCATCAGCTGATACTGGTGAGAAACAGCAGCGGAACGTGTGCAACACCCCCCCCCCCCCCCCCCCCATGTCATCTGAGATTTGTTAGCTTGTAAGAACTGGCAATTAAAAAGACTACAACTCAGACGTTCTCCCCAGCGTAGCTGCTACTGACCAGATGACCAGATTTAGAGGTTTTCTCCACGTTTAACGCTCCTTCTGTTGTCCTGGAAGAAGGATATGACATTCGCTAAACTCACAGACGTTTCTCCTTCGTGTCTGATTCGGCTGGAGTCGTCTACGTGTTTTCACCCAACAGCTGAAGTAGCTGTTGCCGCCTGAAAAGACCAGCGCCTTTCAGAGTCAGATGACTCCGAAGCGCTTACACTGCAGTGTATCATTCATCCATTCACACACTGGTGATGAGCTACGATGTAGGCACAGCTGCACTGGAGCGCCGTGGCAGAGGCGAGGCTTCGGAGCACAGGCGCCACCGGTCCCATCAAACGGGATCAGAAAAAAACATTTTTCGGCCCATAGACTCCCATAAATGTGTTATTTTTTTGCAGTAAGGGATCCATGTGTCAGAAAAACATGGGTGAGACTCATGAGACCTATGAGACAGGAAATCACTCAGCCTGTAGAAACGTCTTCATGTGTGCAGCAGGAAGGAATTTAATAGTTCTGTTTGTTAGAGAATAAAAGCTTCATAAGTCACAAAGTTTTATTCTGAAAACCGGTCACAGACAGTGTGTGTGTGTGTGTGTGTGTGTGTGTGTGTGTGTGTGTGTGTGTGTGTGTGTGTGTGTGTGTGTGTGTGTGTGTGTGTGTGTGAGTGACTGTGTGTGTGACTGTGTGTGTGTGTGTGTGTGTGTGTGTGTGACTGTGTGTGTGTGTGTGTGTGTGTGTGTGCGTGCGTGCGTGCGTGCGTGTGTGTGTGTGTGTGTGTTGTTTCTGGACTTTCCCTCTAAGCCGACACACTCCACTGACTCTGTTTACTGACTCTGTGTGTGTGCGCGCGCGCGCGCGCGTGTGTGTGTGTGTGTGTGTGTGTGTGTGTGTGTGTGTGTGTGTGTGTGTGTGTGTGTGTGTGTGTGTGTGTGTGTGTGTGTGTGACTGTTGTGTTTCCAGCCATGACTTGTCCCTTTAAGGACATTTCCATTGACTCTCACAACCATCTACCGTAACCATGGAAACCAGATGCTAATCAGGCCTGGCAAAAGGTTTTTATGGTCTTTTTCAGAGAGTTTAAGGATCCAGTTGGCTCCTTCCTCTGTGTGCCTGGATTTACTAATCATGACAACAAGGTGTTTAGCTAAACTTTGTTACCTGCTTTAGTTTGGTTTGGGAGCCTCTGTCTTAACCCTTTGATGCATGAATTATGAAATCTTCAACCATGATTTTTTTAACAATTTTTTTCATTCATCTTTAGGTGTGAATGAAACAAATTTCATATTTACATATTTTTTGTAAAATTTAATTTACAAATAATTTATTACATGTCCACCTCAGTGGACAGTGAGTAATCTGAACATGAAATATGTTGGCTTGATTTACTGAAGTACAAATGGAGGGGTTCAAATGCAATAAAGTCTTCAATAGCTGTGCTTGATAGCAAAAATAAATGAATTACAATTTTAAGTACCTGTTCACTGTAGTGACCATTATGCATCAAAGGGTTAATTTAATGTTTAACGCATCAGTTTGGTTTTAGGATTTTTAGATGTGTTGAGAGGCCCAAACCCGCCAGCTTCTGTGGTTGGTGATAGAGAACATTTGGTAATGCAGTTTCTGCTATCACATGTAACTAATGATAATGTTGCACGCAACACGAACATACGTAATATGAACACTATTTAAACCAGATTTAACTGTCATATGTAATAGATGATAGTCTTGGAAAGCACCTACTGTATGTCGTCACAGAATATAAATGGTAATGTCAGAAGATCATAAGCGATAATTGTAACTGATTACAGTGCAATCAAGACCTATGCTATTTTTATCATGACTTAATGTCAGTGACCTTTTTGAAGGATGTTCCTTAATGACCAACTACCTTTCCTGGGTGAATGACCGGACACCCAAGGATGGGAGAGGAACAACTGAAGAAATAGTCATTTATAACTTATCAAGGAATGTGCTGATGTAGGAGCTCTGTAGTGAATAAAAGGCGCTCGAAGGGAGCTTGCTCTCTGAGATTTGCCGAACTCCACACTGGGTTGGTTTGTTCTTGGTCTTCGCATTTCTCCCTCTGCAGAGACAAAGTTTCATCTTTCACCTGTGCTTGTGATTCACTCTAGGTAACCTGTGCTGCTAAAATAACCCAACAGTTGGCTTTGGGCTATTTTTACTTCTTTGATATATGAACATATTTAGAGACAAGAGGTTCCATGTCCTGATCCCGGACAAGCCCCCATTTTTGACATGGTCTTGAGGAAAAAAGGCACAAAATGCCCCTTGCTTTCTTTAGTCTAATTAGCCAAACATGTTTAAGGAAACAAGGTGACTGTCACTGAGAAATGTTTATTAATTGTTCTTTTTGAGATACGTTGAGTTTCACACGCATGCTGAACCCTTACTTCCTGCATTAGCCACAGAAAGAAAATGAAAGGGAAAATGCTTGGGTCGGAAAATGCTAGTCTCTTCTACGTCTCAGGGAACATTAGTATTCATAAACTCATTCATCTTAGCTCATGACTAGGGAAGGCTGTTTTAGATTTAGCATTCAGGAAAAAGCAGAGAACACCTCTGCTAGTAGAAGCTAACCTGTTCCCAAGAAAGAAGAACAAAGGAAGGCAGTGGAAGGCTCACAGTGCTGTAAGCCAATCAGAGGTGAGATGTCTGAAGATGTCATGAATTTAAATGAGTGAGACTAGTAATCCAGCTGTTTTCCACCCCACACTCCTCCAACAAACCTTTACCCCATGAAACAGGAGCGCCAAAGCTTTTTTTACACAGAAAATTACTCACAAGGCATCCATGGGGCAATGGTGGCAAAGGAGATAAGTGCTCACCCTATAATGGGAAGGTTGCAGGTTCGAGCCCCGCACGGTTTATTGTTGTGTCCTTGGGCAAGACACTTAACCCACCCTGCCAGCTAGTGGTGGTCGGAGGGACCGGTGGCGCCTGTGTTCGGCAGCCTCGCCTCTGTCAGTGCGCCCCAGGGCAGCTGTGGCTACATCGTAGCTCATTATCACCAGGGTGTGAATGACTTGATTGTGTTATAAGGCACCTTGGGGGGTTCCAGGAATGTGGAAGGGGCTATATCAGATACAGGCCATTTACCTCCTACCATCTTTATGCAGATGACATCCAACTGTACATCTCCTTTAAGCCCCAGGAGATGTCTAAGCTGCAGCTGTTCCACACCTGCTTAGACTCTATCAAAACCTGGATGGCTGGGAGCTTTCTTCAGCTGAATGAAGATAAGACTGAGATCCACATCTGTGCAACGGACAAGCTGGTTCCCAAAGTTAGAGACTCTCTTGGTCAGCTTGCTTCCCACAACAAACCTTCTGTCAGGAATCATGGTGTGACCTTTGACCCAGCTCTCAGCCTGGATTCTCATGTCAGTTCTCTTGTTTGCTCTTCCTTCTTCCATCTCAGGAACATTGCTAAGCTGAGTCCCATTCTGTCCCGCTCTGAACTTGAGACAGTTCTCCACACCTTCATCTCCTCACGCTTAGACTACTGTAACTCTCTTTTCACGTGTCTGAGCAGAACCTCCCTGAACCGTCTACAGGTGGTTCAGAACGCCTGTGCTCGGCTTCTGACCAAGTCCTCCAAACACACCCACATCACCCCGCTTCTCCTCCAGCTTCACTGGCTGCCAGTCAACTTCAGGGTTCATTTCAAGATCCTGGTTCTGGTTTATAGGGCCTTACATGGACAAGCACCATCTTACATTGGTGATCTTCTCAGTCCCTACACCCCCACCAGGTCCCTGAG